GCCATTAGATTTAGTTTCAATGACCTTGTCACTTTGTCTTAATCGAGATATTGTTTTAGATAACCAAGGTTACAGTTCCGTTTAGGTTTTTTCATGGTGCCTACTCCCATTTTTAATGTTGTGAGCTAAAACCATTTTGAAAACTTCAAAGTTCTTTATTATCTTCTTTTTTTTTTTTGTACCTTTAAGATTTTTTATAAAAAATAAAGTGTTACCTTAGTGTTAATAAAAGAGAATGTTAGTTGATATTCATTAAAATAATTAAAAAAACAACTAAATACTATAGTTATTAAAATTTATAAACAATCAGCTGATAGTTTAAACACAAATATGATAACATTATTTAACTTAATAGAATCAGTGAGGTCATTATGTAAAATAGGTCATTATGTAAAAATGATATTATTAGAATTGTAAACAAAAATCATACAAAATAATGGTAGAATAGGGTGGCGTAATCTAAGCCCATTTTTACCTATTTCTGACTTTGAGTAAAAAATTTTTTAGCAAAACAAATTTTTTTGAAGGAAACTTAAAATTTTAAAATCATGATTAGACATCATTTTTTTGTAACCTACATTTAAAAAAATTTATGCATAATTTTTAAAGGTAATACTAACTTGAGGTGGTACATACCTCAAAAAATTATATCATAAAATATTGGTTCTTAGTTATCTCTTTTTGATTTATTTTGACAAAAATAAAATTACAAAAAACAATTATTCTTAAAAATAATTACGCAAATACCCTAATTATGCAATTTTTTTGTTCCAATATATCTTTTTATTGCAAAAAGATATTTACAAAAAACTTTGCAAACTAATCAATAATGATGCAATGCATGTTCTGAACTAAATCCAAAGAATAACTTTTATTTGCTCAATAACAATAGTTCAGGTAATTTTCCCCAAAAAGAAGTACAAAAATGCATGTAAAAATAAGTAAACAAAAAAAAAAAAATATTTTTTTAGTTCAGAACATAGACTTCTATGTAAAGAATAAATCCTGAAAATTTCAATAAGTTTGACAAAACAGATTTTAAGTTATTTAGGATCAAAGTTAAAAAAATGTGAATCTGAGAAAAACTCATTAAAAGAATAAAAACTAATCTAAACAATTACTATTAAGTCTAAAAAGTTCCAGAAGCATACAATTCACCTTCTGTAGCAATATTTTTATCATCAAAACCCTTTTTTATTGCTCTGAGCTTTTTTATTTGTTTTTTAACAATATCACTTGATTTTTTTTTAGAACTTTTTAAGCGTTCTATATCATATTTATGTAAGCCGTATATACAAAATTGACCAGGTTGCAAACCAAAGCTATGATAAACACTTAACAAACCATAACCACCTTCATTGAAACATAGCACTGCAGATGCTACAGCTATATCAATTAATAACTTTTCTACAAAAACCTCTTTGGGGCACCGTTTCCATATTAAACTATGCAAAGCTTCATTAAGGTTTTGTGTTTCACCGACAAGACAAGCTTCAAGTAAAGTATCATTGCCTAAATCCTTATAACTAAAAATATTTTTGATTTCATCTGCAATAGCAGCAGGAACATTGACTTTACTTTTATATTGATTATTTTTATTTTCAATGGCAGTCTTGTATTTACACCATAAATTCAATGGACAATACTTATGACATTCTTCAGGCGAAGTATTTTCTGAACAGTGATAAATAATTGCAGCTACTGCCTTTTTCAGGCTGTATAAGCTTCCTTTAATAGCTCTAATAGCACAACCATATTAGTTCTGAAGTGTGTTTATGACTTGATTAGTAAGACGGTTTTTTCCTGATATTGTTTTTCCACGAGAAAGAATTTTTCCTTTGAGAGAAACTTTTATCGCACGTAAACGTGTTCCCATTCTTTTCTGGACATGGCCAACACACTCTTGTTTCTTTATTGTTAATCCAGGATAAGGGTTATTTTTAACAACTTCAAGAAATGATTTACTGTCGCCATCACCCAGATAAAATAAATATCTAAGTTTTCTTGTAGTAATGGATCTTTGAAAGATTTTTAGTACACCAGCAGTTTCCATTGAACAAGAACTTCCCTTATGATTAATAGAGCAGTTGTGCTCTGCTTTCCAACAGTCATATTCAGAAGTGCCTTTTTTGCATTTCCAATATTGGCACTGTTTACAACTTTTTGTTTATGTCTCGACATCTATACAGTTACCGTTTGAAATAGCAGTTTCTATCATTTACTGAACATTCTTCTGCTGCCTTTTTCATTGATTTTTCAGACTCTGAAACATAAGATCTGTGGAGTTTCTCATTTATAACATTGTAACATTTTAAAGACATTGGTTGAGGCATGTTCATACAATAACTAAAACGTTTGATAGCTAAATGACCTTTTCCAATTTCACGAAATGCTAAAACAGAGCAATAGTTAATATCATATCCCTTACCACCATTGTTTTTGTTAAAACTTGAAACTTTTTTGGAGGTATAAAACTCGTGTTTCCATTCACAGGTACAGCAAGTAAGTATAAAAAGATGTGATAATCCTTTTTTTTTTATATTATGATTAAAATCTAACTTTCCAAGTCATATTGGACAAAAACCAACTTTATCAACAATGTTCTTAAAGATTTGAGTGTTAAAAAAAACATAGCATTCAATATTTTGACTGCAATTTGTATCTAATTCATACTTGAACTCGTCATTTATTTTTATTTTTTTAGCTGATGCAGATATACTTATTTCGTTTGTTTCTTTTGTTGTTGCTTTGGACAAACCAGAATTTATTTGGTTTTGAGTGAATCTGTTACCATAAAATTTTCTTTTTCTAGCTTTTGATTTCAGTTTTCTGCTATTTGAGCCCATTATAAGTAAAAAAATTTGGTTTTATTTAATAATGAGAACTTAACCTAATTTGCATTACATCACTGATCTCTATAATAACTGGATAGCGCATCTCCTAATAAAATTTCAAAATTTTTGAAGCCAAAAGACGCCATATTGGAAAGCCCCAGAATTTATAAATGCGTAGTTGCGTTAAACTTAAATGCGCTTAAAACTCAGATTTCGCTTAATAAATAAAAAATGCAAAAACCTTATATATATATATATATATATATATATATATATATATATATATATATATATATATATATATATATATATATATATATATATATATATATATATATATATATATATATATATATATATATATATATATATATATATATATATATATATATATATATATATATATATACATATATATATATATATATATATATATATATATATATATATATATATATATATATATATATATATATATATATATATATATATATATATATATATTAAAATTCGAAAAATAATTCAATAAAATGCTAAAAAATTTATTCTGATATTTACAATATAGTAACAAATATTCTAAATTAATAACACACGATATTATCACCACATTCGACTGTGTAACTGGAAATCGAGGGAAAAAATATTTTTGAGAAACAAAATTCAATTTTCTATAGTAAAACATTTTTTAAAAAAAGATACTTCATCATATTATCCTTTGTTAAAGCAACAGGCAAAGAAAATACCAAAGAAAAAAAATTTAAAAACACCAGTATTATAGCTTATGCAGACAATATAATCCTACTAACTCCTACTCTTTCTGGTTTACAAGAATTGGTTAATAAAGTTCAGTCACAATGCCAAAACCTATATATCAAACTAAACACTGAAAAAACCAAGTTTATTATATCCGGTAAAAGCTCAATTACAAAAAATTCAATTCAAATAAACGGCTTTTCCATACACCTCAATAATAAACTGAAACACCTCGGATTCCTATGGGATAATCAAAATAATATAAAAAATAAAGCAACACTTCAAACATTAAATGTAAACGAACGTATTATTCAGTTTCAATCAATATCCAGAGCTCTTATAAAATCGGGTATTCGTTTTTGTCAACCATTAACCATAGTACACTTGTTCAAATCACTGGCTGTACCGAGTTTATCATACAGGTTAGAAATTAGTTGTTATAATAATTCACTTCTTAATAAACTAGACGCTGTTGGAAGGTCAGCATTAAAATTCCTATTTAGTATATCGAAGTACAGCAAAAACCACCTGCATCCCTTCTTTAAAATTGATGACATATCTACCATCCTCATTCAAAACAAATTAAATCTTTTTATCAGACTACTGAACAATCGAAATTGTTTTTTCCTGATTTTGGCTCAGATATCTGATGTTACTAAAGATAACCTATTTATCAACGACGTAATAAAAATTTGCAATCAACTTGAGCTAAACTTCGTGCAGTGTTTGATAGAGGGGAAAAAAATACCGGTAAAACGTTGCTACAATGACGTCGGAGAAAATAGAGCGGCAATTTTGAACCATTCTTTTGAATTCTGGAATATCAGAGAACAAAGACTGGTATTTACTAAGTTGATGGAGGAAAACATCCCAAGAAAAATTTAAATTTTTTACACTGAAAGTATAAACTATTAGTTTTATACAATTTGTTTTTTTACCTGTAATTTGGGTGTTAAAAAGAATAAATCAATAAATAAATTTACACGTTTTATTCAATGTTACACGCAAATTCAAAGTTACCCAGAATGACTGTATATCAAAAGGTTGAAATGTTTGATAGTTTTAGTTAAGCGCCAGATGCAAGATGATTTTGTCACAGACGGTATTAAGACAGCAATGGATGAGATAGGGACTTCGATAAAATTTTAAACGTCTTTATAAAATTGTAGTTTGTTTGTTTTTTTATCAATTTTATAACAGTGTATTTATCAAATTATCAATACTTTTAATTAACAAGAAAAAACAATAGTTATTAAATACATACATAAAATAAATTCATAATTTAAAAAGTATAATATGTTAATAGTTTTATTATTATTGTTATTGTTATAATTGTTGCTGTTATTATTTTTATTAAGATATATTTATATGTACTTATATTACATTATGTAATATTTATTATTTTCTAAAAAGATAGTGAGTTTTTGCGCCAAAAAAGAAGCACACTTTCATGGAGAGTTCCTGATGGGTTACCAACTGGCACAGCAATTAGTTTTTGCAGTTCTCCTACTTGCTGCACTCCTAAAAAATCTTTGAACCCGGGTGGTGGTTTCTTTAATTTATGTAGAGAATGTTTACACCAAATCATGCTTCCATCAAGGTAAGGTATCTTGTGATTTTAAAAAAGTTGTGATTATATAAATATTTATTTATTAATCATTTTAGACTTTACCTTAATCCAAAAATAAGTGTAAAACTACTAATACGGCATTGATGCGAAAGAACTAGTGACACATTAATATGTATTTATATATATATATATATATATATATATATATATATATATATATATATATATATATATATATATATATATATAATATATATGTATGTATATATATATATACATATAAATATATATATATATATATATATATATATATATATATATATATATATATATATATATATATATATATATATATATATATATATATATATATATATATATTCTAATTGTTTATATAAATGCTTAAACGTATAAGCTTTCATTACACCGACATAAAACTTTTAAAGTTAAAAAGTTAGGTGGAGCTGGTTGTTAACAAAAGATATTTTTTGCTGCAAATTCTAGGCTAACAGAATAAGTGAAATAGAAAATACTACAATAGCAGTATTTTTTGTTATCTTTAGAGTATACCCTAAAGTTTATTTTAATTTGTTTAGATATACGCCTCGTCTACTACATTTTGTTACTTGTCAAGATGTAGACTTTACTGAGTCTTGTTTATCCGGAGAAGGTTCTTGCACAACAAATATGGTATCAAATTTAGTGCTGGATACTTATACAAATCAACGGTTAACGTTTGTTTTTGGAGGTTCTTGTTCTTGTGAAATTCGCAGAGATTCAGTTTTTACACCATTTATATAGAAAAATTTACTTTTTTTTCTGGTACTATGTTTAGATCTTTAATTTTTGTTTAACTTTTAATACCTTTTATTCTATACTTAGTTCTTTTTTAATGTATTACGCGATTTTTACTAAATAAAAAAGATATTTTAAAAAAGTTAAATATTAAACCTTTATTAATTTTATTTGTTTTTGGCAAAATTTTGAATTTATATATATATATATATATATATATATATATATATATATATATATATATATATATATATATATATATATATATATATATATATATATATATATATATCATATGTATCAGTAGGTTCATCAGGAAGCTTTCTGGTGAACCTACTGAAGCAGAAACAAGTTGTCAAAGAATAAAAACTAGATAAGTGTTTTTACTAACTTTTTTACATTGGGCGATTTTACCAATGTAAAAAGAGTTAAAGCTTTATTATATTTTGTTGAATTAAGCATATCCTGTGCACATGTTGATGCAAAAGCAGGCTTCACATGCCCATAAATGACAAGAAGTTTATTCTAGCCAGTCCTCTGATGAATCCACCCATGTCACACCAAACACCCAGCAGTGAGTTATTTTTTACTGTTTCTGTTAAAAGCTTTTGAAGTACTCGGTAGCATTTGGTAGCATTTGGTAGCATTTAATAGCATTTGATTGAATAATGATTTTAAACTATTGGATTTCCTCTTCTTTGAGATGATTTTATTTGATTAGACAAATATTTTTTATCTTTCTTGAGCCACTTGCTTTTTTTGTTTGATGGAGAACGTCTTCTTTTTTTGAGTCACTCGGATTGGAAAACACATCCAGAGATTTTCTATTTTTTATATATTTGAGTAATCTAGGTGAGATTTACGCCATGTAGTGGACAAATCTTTTTGAAGTATTCAATAACGATGTAGTTTTTTAGCATATAAATAAGCATTATACCTCAACCACTTTGTTGTCAATAAAAAACCACAATCTACCATGTAAAAAAGCCTGGTTACTAGTGCTTGTTCCACTTACTTTGTAAACACTGTTTTTCTGTTCACAGAGCTTGATTGTCGACGTTTATTTATCTTACCTTTCAGCGTTAATCTCGGTACTCCAAATGCTTTTGCTGCCGTTAATATTTTACTGCTGTCTTCAACAGCTTGAATAACCAATTGGAGGTTGGTATTACTATAGGATTTAATTTTCTTTCGGAGATATTTGCGTACTATCTGAAACATAGGTAATATTCTACAAGTTTTAGATTTTAGCGCTTATGGTAAAAATGCAACAAGATAATTATTACCGATTGGCATAATAACTATCTTTTTAAATATCGATGCTTGCATTTTATTATGGTCTAATTATAATAGGTTAATTTCATAATTTTAAACACGCTAATCAACATAGTGGCTATAAACAGCGATGGTCAGCATTTAATGATAAGAAATGCGAATATAAGAAATGCATTAAATTGGAACAAATGACATTTTCAAATACAAAATTTTAGAAGAATTTTAGAAAACTTTTCTTAAGTTAAATTATAAAGTACTTTAGCTTTAAATGTATATCTAAAAACTATTGATTTTTTATATCTTCAAAATACTTCTAAAAAAAATTCTCATATAAAAAAATTTCTCATATTTCTCTTTCAATTCCTGATATATGTCCAATGATTTTATAAAATTGTTTATATAATTATAAATAATAATATTAAATATTGTTTTAAAAGCAAAAATACTGTACATTATTCATTTTTTAAAACTGTGGATCTATTTTATCATTCTGTGACGGAATCAACCCACAATATTTTACTTGAACAAAAGCCTATTTAAAATATATACCACAAACGCCAGTTAAATAATTTTAACAAACTTATGAAGCTCTCCCCTTAGCAGTTATTCTCAAATGTACTTTCATTCAATTTCACAAAATTAATAATAATGCTGCTTGCAGCAAGACACAATAATATCAATTAATAATATTAAACAGAAATCTTATTTAAAATTTACAACAACCAATCAAACTAGACGGCAACTATGGTCAATCAATAGTTATAAGGTTATAATTTTAAAGTAAAGGGTCTACCCTATATATATATATATATATATATATATATATATATATATATATATATATATATATATATATATATATATATATATATATATATATATATATATATATATATATATATATATATATATATATATATATATATATATATATATATATATATATATATATATATATATATATATATATATATATATATATATATATATGTTTATCCGACAGTCTAAACATTAACAGTTGTAATTACAATATTTTAAGTAATTCGCTTTTAGTTATCAAAAAAGACATTTTGAAAACTATTAAATTACTTTTGATGCCTGAATATAGAGAAATTGTATATTGAAAATGATACATAATTTAATTTTATTATTTAAAAACACTGATCATTTATTCTTTTATTATTAAAAAATTTTAAAAATTTTAAAAAGAAAACAATATAAATGGTTAAGATAATATAAAGTACGGCTAAAATTACGCGTATCAACCATATAATTTAAACAAAAAAAAAATTATTTTTAATTGAAAAAAAAATGATATTTAAATGTAACAACTTAAGTATTATTCATTTTGAATACGTTTATCATTTGCTAAAGAAAAAAAATATTATGTTTAAAAAACGTTTAAATATAGTTTTAAATTAAAAAATAATATAAATGTAATTGTGAAGTTTTTAAAGTAATTGAGCGTTAAGCTACTTTCTATGTCCAGTGTCGGATCAAGGGAGGGGGGAGAGGGGCTAGTAAGGCTAGGGGGTTATAGCCCGGGGGCCCGCAAATTTAGGGGCCCCAAAAAATTAAAGTGGACCTTTTTTTTTTTTTAATTCATTTTTAGGCTCTGGCCCATAAAAAAGCCTCCAAAAACAAAAACACCCCCAAACCTTAAGAAGTCTTAACCGCCACTGTCTATGTCAAAAAATAAAATAAAAATCATTGTAGTTTTTATTATTACGTTTATTTTAACTTTTAACGGCTAATCATAAAAATTATATTTAATTATAGTTAATAACACTCTATTTGATAATTATAAATTAAAAAAAAAAGAGAGTATAAAAATTACAAATAAAAACTCAAAAAAAAAAAAAAAAAAATGATCCCTTAATATGTCAGCATTTTTACATATCAATTTGACTATTACGTTCTTAACTATTTAAAGCTGTTTAACGGTTTTTCACATTTGGTTTCCTGGTGCCTGGGTTGCTATGCAACATTATTTTTTCACATGTCAATTATAAAAATAAAAATAAAAAAAAAATTACGTAGTTTTAAATGACATCTTTAAAGAGTTTATTAGACATTTCCGAGTTTATTATGTACGCACGGTGCAGCTACGGCGATTTATGTTATTATTATTATAATTTGGAACTAGCATGATTTTGTCAACGTATTATGTTCAAACAAGTGTTTACGATAATTTTTATTGTATCATAGTTTAATAATATGATCTGTTCTGTTTCGATTTCAAACTCAAACCTGCAGTTTCCTGTTCCTCCTCATTCTCAACTCAATTAGGTTAGGTTATTTAATTATTGAAATTTATTTATTTATTATTATATCATATTTAGTTTTAAAGGATGTTTGATATTACTAATATTTTTCTAATGCATTATATGTATATAAATATTTACTATATTTGAAAATTCTATAATTTGAAATAGAAATTCAAAATGGGCTTCAATCTACAAAATTTACTAGCTGCTCTCCTTCGTCATCACTATAGTTGATATATCCAATATTTTTAGTAGAAAAGGTTAATTTACAGTTTTTTCAATTTTTTTACTGTTGCATTATGTAAATAAGACTACAATATAATTTTAAAAAATTTTATATTTAATATATTTAAAATTAACTATATAATTAATTGTAAATATAATTTTACCTTTGTAAAAGTTAAAATAATGTGTTTGAAAACTGTGTGTGTTTGTGTAAATGTGTGATTGTAAAAATTTACTAAATCAAATTATGTTATATATACAAATACTTTGTGTAAATAGATAACCCAACTGCACTACCATTATCTATACTAACACTAATGCTTGCTAGAGCATTGCAATTGGACCAATTACCACCTGATTTGGTTAATCACCGTATTGAAGGTGTATTTAATTTATGCATTAAAAAAATGATGTATTTGATTGTTTTCTGTAACTTAATGTGACTTAAGATCCCAGTGGGCACGGACGTAAAAAAAGACGTATTTAAAACGTCTTCTAAACGTTTTAGACGTCTTTTGAACGTCTTTTGAACGTTTTGGACGTCTTCTGAACGTTCAAAAGACGTCTTTTTTTAGCCCTGTTGCCCACTGGGATATAAAAGAAAATCTTTTGTTTCTATATACTATTATTTTTATTAAAGTATTATTTTATGTGTTTTGTTAAAAAATATACCTGTCTTATTTTTCTTTACATTTAGTGAATGATCGTCGACAACTAATATTATTAAAAGAGGTCATACAAAGCAACCCAAGTTTTGCTTCTGCAGTTATTATCTCAACAGCAGCGTGGCGTTATAGAAAATAATTTCAACGATTTTTGGCTGCCTGTTTTATCAATGAACATTTAAAAAAATTGAAACAGATTGTCTTTACAATGAAATGTAAGGAAAGCTTGTAAGATAATGTATTTGTTGTAACTGTTTGGTTCACCAAATATTTTGGTTCAACTTACTTTAAATCTAATACATAGTAAATTTTATATTTTAAAAGAGTTTTCTATTTTTAATTTGACGCGTTGTTTGGGTCAGTGTGGTGGAACAACTGTTTCTGAATCGACAAGAACTATAATGAAGCGATTGATGACAAATTTCATTGCAGTTGCTTGTAATTGGAAAGGAAAAGGGAGGGTGGGTAATATGCTTTTAGCAATAGTAAGCTTTGCCAAATTATAAATTGTGCGCTTTTTTTGTGTTAAACCAGGAAACGGAACCTTCGGCTCGCTAGCTGCATGCAGTTTTTTTTATCTAAACTGAGCGGCTCTTCAACCTGTTCGAGTTTTATATTTAAATGATATTGAATACTATTGA